ACATGCATGCTAGTTGTTTCTGGCTCTAGGGGACAGTGCTCATCTCCGTTTCAAAGCTGAAGAGCCAGCGCTGTCTGAAGACATCTCCGTGGTCATATGGCATGACTAAATGCTGAAGGCACATGGAGCGCCTATGAAGCGGTATATAAGTCTACTGCTATTGCTATTGCTATCTTCCCACCAAAGTGGTCCTTATTTTTCTACTTGCATTTTTACGTGCTTTCGAATTGCTAGGTTGGCAGAAGCTGGGACAAGTAATGGGAGCTCACCCTGTTACACGGAACTAGGGATTCGAACCGCTGAACTATCGACCTTCTGATCGACAAGCTCAGCGTCTTAGCCACTGAGCCACTGCGTCCTTCAATTTTGTGTATATAACAGTAATAAATACTTATAGAAAAGCTGCACTTTCCTTTACATACATGTAAGTTATAGGGATAGAAGATAATGATGCTTAAAATGGAAATGTAATGAATAACTACAGAATTATTATTATTTCAATTGCTATAATCTCTTGTAATGTTCAGCATCATGAATTTAACTCCCTGAACCGCATTCTGTGTGTAATATTAAATAGTACGACTGCAAGTTGAGCATTTAAGTTGTAACTATAATAAGAAATATGTGAATAGACACTGGTAATAAGGCAGCGGGTATGTGTATAATTCCTAGGTAATGGGGACATTACTGTCTCAAAGGTTAATGTCCATTGTCTTTTATCTAACAGGTAATTGCTTGTGAACAACAATATGACTATTCTTATGATGCCCGTTGTGATGTGTGGTCTCTTGGAATCACGGCTATTGAACTTGGTGACGGAGATCCACCTTTGTTTGACATGCATCCTGTGAAGACCCTGTTCAAAATCCCAAGGTAGGGCACTAGGTGGCTCTCTTGGCTAACTGGATCTTGCTTGCACTGACAACAGCAAATTCAAGAGTGAAAATACCTATTTGGTGCATCATTACATCTTACATTACGTTAATTGGAAGATATGTAGAAATAAATGCTACTGTTGAGCAGGTCTGAATATAAGCAATGAGGTTTTTTAGAAAAAGAATATTTGAATTTTTACTATTGAAGGTTCTTTTTAAAAAAATATGATTTGCTTATTTAGCTTTTGCAAATCACTTTCCATTTCAAAAATAATTTGTTTCCCAACAAGGGCAGGGGATTCTCCAAAAAATACAATGTTTTAATGGGCTGTTTCTGAAAGAAGAATGGTTGAATGGTTCACATAGAAGCTTTTTAAGTATGCCGGATCAACAGCACCTATTATTTCTATCTTCTTTCTTTTATTTTCATATTATTTCTAAGCATCCTTGAAAGTGCAAGGAACCTACACTTTCTTCCATAAGATTTGTTCTGTTTTTCCTGGCAGCAAGCAAAAGACAGGGCATTACAACTGTGAAGTATGAATTAATTGCCGGACATTTATAACAAATAGCCTTTCTGAAGCATTTGCTTTAAATTGGTTGTCAGTTTGGAATAGCCTGCCACTTCTGTGTCCAGAAGGAAAGATACCCACCGGGCAATTAGAAAATTAAAACCTTAGACAATGGGAATATTTGACCCTTTCTTATCTGTACAATCACACAATTATCATGGGGCTTTTTACCAAACGCTATTTGCATTTCTGATTAAGTCTATTTATATGTAGATGAAGCTTTCCAACATTCTGCACAGTATTATCTCTTTCCCACAACTGGGTTGGAGAGCTGCTATCCTCTTTCAGAGATTATTCAAACTTAAACAGCAATCCAAGGGTTTTTTCCCCCCCTTTGCACATGTGTAGCAATTAAAGTCAGGGAGAGTTCAAATATATAAACTAACGCCCATACATTTTTATCAGAGAGAAGCTGAAAATGGCTGGAAAGAGCAAAAGTCTTGATGGAGTGCGGCAAAATATCGGCAGGTCAAAGAAAGGTATATGGAAAGGGCATGTGAATTTTTGCCTTCCAGGTCATGATGTATTTCTTTCTTTCCATGAATGGTTTTCGATAACATGCCAAAATAAGACTTCCTACACTTTTTACATGAGACAAAACACTACACTTAGCAAGCAAGCTCCTTAAATGTCTGTCTTTTAAAAAAATAAAAAACAAAAATCCAAATTTTTAGCAGATGACACCAAGCTGGCAGGAATAGCCAACAATCCAGAAGAAAGGCTAAAGATACAGAAGGATCTTGACAAACTTGAACATTGGGCACTATCTAATAAAATGAAATTAAATGGTGAAAAGAGTAAGGTTTTACATTTAGGCAA